TCTGCAGGCCAGGGAGAGAACACAAACTTGAGCAGTAATGCCACCTTCGGGAAAGCAAAAGAGACACAATCAGCAGCCAGCCTGGTGTGTTATAGGATCAAGAGAAGGCATACAAGCTTAAGAATTCTGCTACAAGAGGAAGCAAGAAGCATGGAGCAGGTGTATCCATATAAGGTCTGAGAAAGTCTCAAATCTCTAGCGGGACTGACAGAAAGTATTTCTCCCCTGAAGGCACTTAGAAAAGATTGGAGGAGGTGACTACCACTTCAAATGTGAAGGCAGCAACTCCAAGGAACACGAAATCAAGGAAACATGACAGCAGCAAAGGATCACAATAATCTTTTAGTAATCGAAAATAAACAAGTGGGACTATAACAAACTAAAAGGTTCTGCACAGCAAAGGAAACCATCAACAAAATGAACAAGCAACCTACCGAATGGGAGAGAATGTTTGCAAATTATATATCTGATAAGGGGTTAACACCCAAAATAAATAAAGAACTCATACAACTCAATAGTAAATAAATATACATTCCAATTAAAAAATGGGCAGAGGATCTGAATAGACATTTTTCCATAGAAGACATAAAGATGGCCAACATGTACATGAAAAGGTGCTTAACAACACTCATCATCAGGGAAATGCAAATCAAAACCACAATGAGATATCATGTCACACCTGTTAGAATGGCTGTTATCCAAAAGACAAGAGATAACAAGTATCGGCAAGGATGTAGACAAAAGGGAACGCTGTGCACTGCTGGTGGGAATGTAAATTGGTGCAGCCACTATGGAAAACAGTAAGGAGGTTCCTCAAAAATTTAAAAGTACAACTACCACATGATCCAGCAATGCCACCTCTGGGTATATATCCAAAGGGAGTGAAAACAGGATATCAATGAGATATCTGCACTCACATGTTTATTGCAGCACTTTTCACTACAGACAATATATGAAACAATCCAAGTGTCCATCAATGGTTGAATGAATAAAGATAATGAGGTATATATATACAATGGAATATTATTCAGTTATTAAAAAAAGAGGGAAATGCTGCCATATGCAACAACATGGATGGACCTTGAGGGCAATATGCTAAGTGAAATAAGTCAGAGAAAGACAGATACTGTATGATATCACTTATACGTGGAATATAAAAAAGCTGAACTCACAGAAACAGAGAGTAAAATGGTGGTTAGCAGAGGCTGGGGGTGGAGACAGTGGCGAGACGTTGGTCAACATTTGGAGTACAAACTTCCAGTTAGAAGATGAATAAGTTCTGGGCATCTAATACACAGCATTATTATTATAGATAACAATACGGTACTATATACTTGAAAGTTGATAAGACAGTAAATCTTAAAAGTTCTTACCACAAAACAGAAATAGTAACTGTGTGACATGATGGAGTTGTTATCTAACACTATGGTGGTAATCATACTGTAATATATAAGTGCCTCAAATCAACACATTGTACATCTTAAACTTACACATTATTATATGTCAATTATATCTGAATAAAGCTGCAGAAAAAATAAAATGCTCAATTAAATCCTCAAAAGGCAGCCAAAGAGAGGACAAAAATAGGAACAAAGAACAAGGGCAACAAACAGAAACAGTAACAAGTATGGTAGACATTAATCCAACTATATCAATAATCACTTTGAACATCCATGGTCTAAACGCACCAATTTAGAAACAGAAATTGTCAGAGTGGATCAAAAAACAAGACCAAATATATATATTGTCTACAAGAAAGCAACTTTAAATTCTTGTTGCTGGTGGGAATGTAAAATGATACAGCCCCTTTGCAAGACAGTTTGGCAGTTTCTTACGGAAACTAAACATAATTTTACTATATGATCCAGCAATCACACTCCTTGGTATTTACCCAAATTAGTTGAAAAACTTATATCAACATAAAAACCTAAATTTATAGCAGCTTTTTTGTAATTGCAAAAACTTAGAAGCAACCAAGATATCCTTCAATAGATGAATGGATAAACCATCTATGGTACATCCATACAATACATTAGTACTCAGTAATAAAAAGAAATGAAGTATAACACATGGAAAGACATGGAGGAACCTTAAATGCATATTGCTAAGTAAAATAAAGACTGTATGATTCCAAATATATGACATTCTTAAAAAGGCAATACTACAGGTACAACAAAAAGACTAGTGGTTGCCAGAGGTTCAGGTAGATGGAGGGAGAGATGAATAGGTGGAACATGTGATTTTCATGGCAGTAAAATTCTTCTGTATAATACTGTAATGGTGGATATGTGACATTATGCATCTGTCAAAAGCCATAGAACTGCACAACACAAAGATCAAACCCTTTGTAAACTATGGACTTTAGATAATAATAATGTATCAATATTGGTTCATCAATTTTAACAAATGTACCACACTAATATAAAATGCTAATAATAGAAGAAACTTTGCATGGGGTTGGTGGGGAGAATGGGTATATGGGAACTCTCTGTACTTTCTGCTCAGTTTTTCTATAAACCTAAAACTGCTCTAAAAACTAAAGTCCATTAATTACGAAATGAAGCAACATCAAGATTAAATGGTAGTTTAAAAAAGAAAGAAGGGCCGGCCACATGGCTGAGTGGTTAAGTGCGCGCGCTCCGCTGCTGGCGGCCCGGGTTCGGATCCCGGGCACGCACCGATGCACCGCTTCTCTGGCCATGTTGAGGCCGCGTCCCACATACAGCAACTAGAAGGATGTGCAGCTATGACATACAATTATCTACTGGGGCTTTGGGGGAAAAAATAAAATAAAATAAAATTATTAAAAAAAAAAAGAAAGAAAGAAAAGAGTGGAATACAAAGGTAGTTTTTGTCTTGTTGATTAGGCTACAGAATCTAATAGAATTTAGAGAATGAGGAGGGAAGAAGAAAATGAAGTTTGGCTGGAGAAGATGACAGGGGGTACTTTTAAGAGAAAAAGCGAGAGTATACTAGTGGAACACTAATACTGAGAGAGCAGATCTATACCAGTGGAGCCCAGGGACTGAGGCAACCGCCATGGGAATGATACATAGGAATCTGTAACAGGGTGTTCTCCATGTTGTTCAACGTAACCCTGTCCTCTGGTTCCCTGAAAAATCACTATGTGCCCCCATGTTCACTGCAGCATTATTCACAGTAGCCAAGATATGGAAACAACCTAAATGTCCATCGACGGATAAATGGATTAAAAAAATACAGTATACATACAATGAAATGTTATTTAGGCATAAAAAAGAATGAAATCTTGCCATTTGTGACAACACAGATGGACCCTGAGGCCCTTTTGCTAAGTGAAATAAGTCAGACAGAGAAAGAAAAATATCATATGATCTCACTTATATATGGAATCTAAAACAAACAAAAAAAACCCCAATAAAACAAAAACCAAGCTCACAGATCCAGAGAACAGATCGGTGGTTGCCAGTGGGCAAAATGGGTGAAGGGAGTCAAAAGGTACAAACTTCCAGTTATAAAATAAATAAGTAATGGGGATGTAATGTACAGCATGGTGACAATAGTTAATACCGTATTGCATATGTGAAAGATGCTAGGAAAGTAGACCCTAAAAGTTCTCATCCCAAGAAAAAAACTTCTGTAACCACGTATGGCAACGAATGTTAACTAGACATTGTGGTGATCATTTTGCAATACATACAAATATCAAATCATTATGTTGTATACTTGAAACTAATGTAATGTTGTATGTCAAATATACCTCAATTATATAAATAAATAAATTTTTAAAATTCACGAGTAAAATTTCTACTATTATATCTTATTCTTTAGGAACTTGCTTTTGTGGTTGGAGGATGTGTTCCGTTGGCCTATATGTGGGCACAGAGACTTCCGTTTCTGTCTATCATGGAGCATCAGGGATCAGAATTACCCCTTCACTTTAAACCAATTAAAATCTGCACAAGAAATATATGAAACAGCAATATTCAGACATTGGAAAACAGAAAGTGCAAGGTATTGATCCCTGAAAGAAAGAAAACCAAGGAGAAGAGCCCTAGAGTGACCCCAGCTTACTGCCTGCAGTCTCCAGGCCACAGCATAAGGAAGGGGAACACAAACAGAGTCTACTGGTCTCCTTGAGTTCACAGACAAAGGTTAGAGTTTGGAGAGGCCAAAGCAGTGAGAATTCACAGGGCACAGTAGTAGAGAGAAGACAGCCGCACAGAGTGAGAGAAGCTCCACAGATGTGCAGAATGTTCCCCATGATGTAGAGAGAGGCATTCACTATCCACGCCAAAGCTCTAGATACTACCCCACCTAGCCAGTCAGGGCTCTCCTGGGTCAGAACACTCTCTAGAACATGGGAGCACTGTAAAATGCAAAGCTGTCCCTGGTTTAAACACAGCAACATTAGAGGTTAAAGCTGAAGTTGAAAGAGGGCAGGATTCCCATCAACTTTTTACAACCAACTCTTATTTTCCACTTCTAAACTGTATTCCATAGCATATATTACATGATTGTTTTAAAATTCTCTCCAGTGTTAAGACATAAGCAAGGTAATTTCTCCTTTCTGTTGACAAGTAGTCAGAAACTTGACGTACTAGTTCCAGCAGCTCTTTATATTCATGAACTGATAGGTACTCAGCCGCAGTCAGAGCATTAGTGTATATGAGATCATCTATAAGTCATAGTAACAAAATCTACAAATGACCTCTTAAATTTATCACTGCTCCACCTCAAGGCCCGCCACCCTGCAACATTTTGCTAGCATATTCGAATCACAACTAAAAGTTCTCTATTTCAAGTTATATCAGGGTACTCCTCAAAAACGAGTCTATTTTTGGTAGCATTTAGCCTAAACTTGAAATTGCAATACTTGCTTGACAGCCAGTTCAATTGTATGGCTCCAAACTCCAGGGAATCTATGTTGTTACCTTACTTTAGATTATAGAAAATTATAGAGATCAATGCACTCAACAGAGGTTATTAACACAACAATGCTTAAATGCGTGGAAACTTACGTGGCTCAGCTGCAGAAACATCTATAAATTCTTCAGTTGAGTGAGTTTTTATGAATTCTGAAATAATAGTGAATGTGTCATAAGTTTCAAATATCAATTATATGTATTGAGTTTAAATTTCAGAGTTTTCGTTTTAAAAACTCATTGAAGAGAAAAACAACTCTAAAAAAATAACAGACCTGCCAACACTGTAGATCCTCCCAGTCAGGTAACAAGTGGTAATATCTGAAAGAATGTCTATAACAACTGAGTGAGGTAAACTCATCATTTTCTCAACAAAACTTGTTTTGCCTCTTATATTCTCTTAGTTAATACTACCATCACCTAATCTCAGTTCCTTTCATATCCAATCACCAAGTTTTGCCAATTTTACCAATAAATATTTCTCAAATCTGCCCCTTTCTTCTCATTTACCTGTGCTCTAATATAAGCACTTATCACAAATCTAAGATACAGCAATAAATTTCCTTTCTTACTTCCAGTACCCACATCTAGCTCCTACAATGTGGCCAGAATAATCTCTTCAAAATTAAATCCATGCCAAAGATGTTAGCTCAGTGCCAATCTTCCTCAGCAAAAAGAGGAAGATTGGCAACAGACGTTAGCTCAGGGCTAATCTTGCTCACCAAAAAAAAAAAAAAAACAAAACTTAAATCCAATAATATTTCTTCCCTACAAAAAAACTTCAATGATTCCCTATTGCATATGAAAAAACAAATTCCTTAGCACAGCATCCAATCCCTCTGACTAGGCTCTCTCCTATCTTATCCCTACCAATCGCTTCACACTCGAGTACCATTCCAGTTGTAATTCTCCACTCATGCTATTTGTTCATGCTATATTCTCTTCTTAAAATAAAAATATCTCCATTCTTCATTTGAATAATGAAGGTTGCATAAAATCTTCCTAAATCCCTCAGGTTGAACAAATTGGCTCCTTTCTGTGGACTGTGCCAATTAACACATACTTTTATCATGCATTACACTATGTTAAAATCACAAAAAATGTGCTTGTGTCCTTGCAAAGTTGTGGATTTTATGGGGGTAACAACCAAGTTTTATTCATTTTGTACACTCTCAGAATCTGGAACATAATAACTTTATTAAAAAACTCACTATTGAATCTTTTAAAATTTACTATTGTATAAATTTTATGGCTATAAATTTTAAACTGGAAGTCTCAAAGTCTTAATGTATTTAGGAAATACTGTAAATGCTAAACATGTATAAAATATTATCACCTTCAATTTTCTGCTGTACAGTTTCATGATTTTGTACTGCTTCTGATGGCTTTTCAATACCCCTGTTAAAATTTCAATAAATAAAACATATTTATTATCAAAGAATAAGAATTTAAATTACACTTAAGAAGTAGAATGTATACTCTAGACATATGCAGTTTGTAAAATAAAATTTAACATATTCTTAAACTTTATTCACAGACACTAAGGTAAATTAATTAGCAGCAAGTAAATAAGTATAAAAATCAAATTATGTACTTCTATGAATTCTATATATTCCAGACTATAATTAGGTATACCAACAACAACATTAACAACAAAGATAGCAAAGGTAAACTGGGTGGAAGCATGAGATCTCTTTTTACCGATGTATTATTAATGGTGCAATCATTAAACGCACAAGTTCTAGAGTCAGACTGCGTGGCTCAAAACCTGTTTCACCCACTTACCAATTATGTGACTTTGGGTAAGTTACTCAACCTCTCTGAGTTTAAGTTTCTTCATCTATTAAAATTGGGGAATTAGAGTACCTATCTCATAAAGCAGTTGTAAGGATCAAAGAATACATGCAAAGTTACTAGGAAAATAGCTAGACACTTACATTTCAGTTATTAATATTAATACATAGTCTGAAACTAATTTTGTGCCTCACGATAGCTCAAGTGAACGCATCTGAACCTCTGAACCAAGATCTGGTAATGCAGCACCCACTGGAGCCAAATCAAGTGCCACCCCTTTCATTCCTTTAAGTCTAGTCATTGACAGATGGAGATATCAATAAAGTAACTGCAAAATACACAGCAGTCCCTCCCAATTATGAGTACTTTCTATTTTAACACTATAAAACAAGAGGGTTTTGTGTATGTTTAATGCAAAAAATGGTTGTTTATAAATGTAAATTTTACTTGGATAGGTTACTGTACCAGATATGGTTGGGGATAACAGAATAATGGAACAAATGAGTTGGAGTTGATTTAACTCATATATTCATAAAAATTACACATATTTATTTACTGTTTATCACATGTGATAGGAAACATGTAGATGTGTGTGACTGTTTCTGCTCTTGAGGAAACAGTCTTTCAGGGAAGACTTACACATGAATCATTAAATTAATATATTAATAAATTTATAATAAATCATTAATTAATTCATAATAAAAATTATAAAGTATGTGATTCAACACCAAACAATGGAGATCAAGAAAGAAGTAACAAAGGAAGAGATAATTGTAGAACAAGGTTTCTCAACCTCAGCACTACTGAACTTTTAAATAATTTCCTTGTTGTGGCGAACTGTCTTGTGCATTTTAGAATGTTTAGCAGCATCTCTGACCTCTACCTAGTAAGTTACAGCAGCATTCTCCTACTCCGAGTTGTGACAACCAAAATGTCTACAGACAAATATCCTGTAGGGCTCAAAATAGCCCTCATTTGAGACTCACTGCTATAAGGGAACAGCTCTCCCATGGCACTCTGTCAACATTACACAGGTCCACATAAGCTACATAGGCAAGGTTTGACAGCGGTCAGACCCAAATCTTAGCAGAATGTCCTGCAATTTCTCCTGCAGAAAGAAAATAAGCCTGGGGAGGAGTCTCCATGAGGCAGTTTCTCATTGCTATCTTGTAGAAGACCGACATAGCCCATTTCTCATCTATCCCCCTAATTTTAGTTGAATACAGAACTTTCTATTTCTCTCTTCCTTACAGCACACCTGAAGGCTTCTGTATAAGCCTATAAAGCTGCAGGCTGTAGTTTAGATTTTGCTCCTCCATGGCAGAGCAACAAATCGCTTGTCTGGTCTGTCCTCTGGTCCCTCCTGCTCTGTGTCATCCTATGGAACTAGGAACATAGGGAGCTGACACCATGCTGATTTTGCTCTTGTTGTCTGTATAAGTAATCAAGTATCCAACACCATTTGTGCCCCTTGTCTCCTTACCAGCCTAATATATGGAAGTATGACAAGCCAATCTCATGGCTGCCGCTGTGCTGCTACTGGGGGACTGCCTCACTGCTTGACAATCATGTAAATAAAAGCACTGCTTAACAAAATAGTTTTTAGGCTATAACAATGAAAGGGGATAGAAAATACCAAGGAAGTTTAGCAGAATGAATTGGGAAGAAGTTGGGGAGATTATGAAGATTATGAATCAAATACACTAAAAAATTTTGTTCGTGCAGACTTGTCACTGGGAGAAAAAGGGCTGATATTCATACAGATATTCATACAGTGGTATGAGACTATCATTGAAATTCTCCTGATCCAGTTGGTAAATAGGTCTATCTTGAGCCATTCAAGTGTATCCCAACTTCCCTGGCCCCTCAACCTTCCCAGGATCCAGCACCTAAAGAAATAATCTTTGGCACAACAAACGGTATGCAGGACCCTGTTCCAGTGCTAATATGAATTCTAATTAGTTGGTGCTCATATTATCTTGGTTCTTCATATTTTTGGTACTTTCACTAGGAACAAGACAGTACATGCATCAAGACTATAAATTTAAAACACACACGTACACAACACACACCTTTTTTTCTCTAGTACAAAAGAAACTTATAAAAGGAAAATTGTAACTTGGATTGAAAATAAAAGCAGAGTGGATCTAAGACCATCGAATAAAAAGGGAATAGACTAAGAAAGGCTGACTGTAAAGCAATGGACAAAAAGTACAGCAAGCCAAGGAAATAAAGCTATACTCAAGATTACTGTTAAACTAGGTAAAACTGAATTATACACGTTTTCCTAAAATATCTGACACTGTAATAAAATAGTTTCTTGTACACTATATGGCTAACTAAGGGTGATTTTATGACTGATTCATTACAAAAGATGGAGTATTAAAAATAACTGTGTAGCTGAGCTGGTTGAAGAGAGACAACTGAGTACCACAGAGACATCTTATTTTAAATTCATGATTTCAAGTAGGCTTTAATATCACCAGATAATCAAAAGATAACCTGGTCCATTCACTCTCCCATTTAAGGCCTATTGCAAATCCACACCTCTCTCCTCACCTCTCCTATCCTATCCTCATGCTCAGCTGATGATCTTTCTTTCTACTTCCCTGAGAAGGATGACTTCCACAGGCTCCTATACCGCATCTGCCCTCTATCACATCTGTACCCTGATACTCTGCCTTCCTACCTGGTTTCATAGATAAATTATCCAAGCTCATATGCCATCTTCTCTCACTTATTCAAGGATATTGTCCCAGCAATTCTCCTTTGTTTCTTTCTATCATAAATCTTTTCCTCTCTATTGGATCATTCCTATTAGCACATAAACATTGTATTATTTTTCCTAATTTATAAAAGCCTTATTTTGTTCCCACTTGCCTCCCCAGCCACTATGCTATTTTTTTCTCCCTTTTGCAGCAAAACCACTCCAAAGAGTTGTCTATGATTGTTGTCTCCAATTGACCTCTGACCAGAGATCTCTCATAACAACTGCTTTTCTCAAGGTCAACAATGACATTCTTTCTAAATCCATTGGTCAATTCTCAGACCTCACCTTCTTGACCTATCCACAGCATTTGACACCATTGATCAGTCCCTTCTCATAGTTACACTTTCTTCACTTGTCTCCCAGGACACTACACTCTACCAGATTTCTTTCTACCTCACTAGGTCTCTCCTTCTCATCCCCCTGTGCTAGCCCTCATCTTGTCTCAGATTGCTTAATGCCGGAAGGGCCTCAGAGATCAGCCCCTGGTCTCTCTTCTTGATTTACACTCACTCTTTTCATGATCTGTCTCAAGTTCCATCTACATGTAAACAACATCCCAATTCCTATTTCCAGCACACACCTCTCTCCCAAACACCAAAACATATATGTAACAGCCTACTCAAATACGACTACAACATTTCTGACATCTCAAAATAAGTATCTTCAAAACAGAATCCTTCATTTTCCTCCACAAAACCTGCTTCACTACCCTACTCCAGTGAAAGTAAGAGCAATTTCATCCTTCTGGCTGCTCAGGCCAAAGCCTTGAACTTATTCTTGGCTCTTCTCTTTCTCTCACATCCTACATCCAATCCATCAGGAAATCTCACTGACTCTACCTTCAAAAACCATCGAGAATCTCAACACTTACCAAGTCCACTGCAACCATACTCTGATCTGGACCACCATCATCTCTTATGTGGATTACTGCAAAGTCTCCTAATTAGACTCCCTGCTTCTACTCTTGACCCTCTATAGTCAATTTTCAACACAGCAGAGTGATCCTTTTCAAATCTAAGTCAGATTGTGTTACTTTTCTGATTAAAACCCAGTATCTCCTTAATGATAATCAGAACAAAAGCCAATTTTTTTTAAGCTTGAATTGTTATTTGCTGCTGTTAATTTCTCTCTCCTTTCTTTTTTCTTTTGCTTTTTTTAATTTTTTGTTTATTGCAGTAACATCAGTTTGTAACACTGTATAAATTTCAGATGTACATCATTATACTTCTTTGGGTGGTGAACATGATGTAATCTATGCAGAAAAACCAATTTTTTTAAAAGGCCTAATGGATCTTCCATTTATTCCCTGACAAGACCTTGTTCTTATATGACCTGGCCCCCTATTACTTTCTGACTTCATCTCCTACTCTCTCCACTCTGTTTCTGCTGCAGCCACACTGGTCTGCTTGATTTTTCTTCAACGTGCTCCGCCTTTCGGGCCTTTGTCCTGGCTGCGCCCTCTGCCTAGAATGCTCTTCCCCAAAATATTAACATGGTTAATTCTCTCATCTTCAAGTATTTGCTTAAATGCTAATTTCTCAGGAGGCCTAACCAACCCACTCTATATAAAACTGCAATTGCTACCCTCACCTTTGGTATCCCAATCCCCATTTTCCCTGCTCTACTTTTTCTTTTTTTCCATACATTTGTCACCTATTAGCATACTACATAATTTACTTGCTTATCATGTTCGTTTTGCTTATTGTCTGCCTCCCCCATTTACTAGAATGTACACTCCATCAAAGCAGCGATGTTTCTTTGCTTTGCTTGTTCTCTGATATATTCCAAGTGTGAATGACAGTTCCTGGCACATATTAGGTGTTTTGGACATGTG